GTTTCTTTTCTCATCCATCCATCCTATTTTTCTTTTCTTTTTTTTTTTTTTTTGGAGACAGAGTCTCGCTCTATTACCCAGGCTGGAGTGCAGTGGCGAGATCTCAGCTCACTGCAACCTCTGCCTCCCAGGTTCAAGTGATTCTCCTGCCTCAGCCTCCTGAGTAGCTGGGACTACAGGCATGCCCCACCTTGACCGGCTAATTTTTATATTTTTTGTAGAGAGGGTTTCACCATGTTGGCCAGGCTGGCCTCGAACTTCTGACCTTAGGTGAGCCGTCCGCCTCGGCCTCCCAAAGTCTTGGGATTATAGGCGTGAGCCACCAAGTCCAGCCCATCCATTTATTCATTCAATAATTACTGAGCATCTGGTATATACCAGACACTGCTCTGGGTCCTGGGAACACATCAGGGAGAGCCCTGCTCTCAGGGAGCTTACATTCTAGCAGATAATAGACCTACTACGTTCTGTGATGTGGGTGTGGACGGTGTTAAGTGTTGTGGAAAAGAAAAACAGGACAGGGTGAGGGTGGGTATGTTGCAGTATTCAATAGGGTCATTTGAGTGGCCTCATTGAGAAGGTGGTATTTGATCAAAGACAAGGAGACCTGGGAGGGACCCTAGAAGGTCACCGGAGGAGAATGTTCCAAGCAGAAGAGATGCTCATGTATCTGAGGCCCGCCTGGCTGGAGTGGAGGGAGTGAGGAGGGAAGAGCAGATGAGGAATGTGGAGGGCTGCCATATTCTTCGAACGACCGTCTCGGTGTTCCCCCTAGGCTCTTGGGATTGGTGATGATTTTACCTCTGATGACTTAGCAGAGAGACAAAGGGCACCCGCCCCTTTTCGTCCCTTCTTGGGGGTACCAAAGGGCACCTGCAAGACATGGTGGGATGAGGGCCAGTGCTGCCTGTTGCAGGCTTTTGGCTTTGACGGGGAGAAGTGGGCAGCCATCGTGCATGACCTGATTTCATGGCTGTGGGGCTCACTGCAGGGCTGTAAGGGGACAAGAGCAGAAGCAGGAAGAGCTATTAGGAGGCAGAGGTGACGCTGCCTGCATGAGGCAGGTGCAAGGGAGGCAAGAAGAATGGTCTGGTTCTGGCTGTACCTTGAAGGTGGCAGAGTCAAGATAATTTCTTGATAGATTGGAGAGGGTTGTGACTGAAAGAGAAACACTGAGAATGACTCCAAGAACCTCAATCCAAGTCATCAAAAGGATGGATTGTCATTTTCTGCAATGGGGACAGCTGTGGGAGGAGGGTCCTTCCCCATTCTCTGTCTCCCCCGCCACCACCTCCATACCCCCTTTTCCCTCTCGATGCAGACTTCTCTGCAGGTGCTGGCTCCAGGCCAGAGGGCAGGAGGGTCGTCTTGGCCTTCAGCTCATAAAAGGCAAGGTCGAGCAATGGGGAAAGGGTGGGGTCTGGGTCCCAGCTAACAGCCGAGATAGAGCTCCTGCTTGAGGGGACAGGGCCGGCTTCTGGGAAGCATCTTTCAGTGCAGCGAAGAGAGCGAGATGCAACCTGGGATCCTCTGCCTGGAGATGAAGCCTTCTCTAGAGAAGACTTTGGGGTTTGGGAGAGCTTATGGCCCCAGATCAGACTTAACAAATCGTCTCACAATACATCATGTCCAACAGCTTGTTTGGCTAAGGAGCATAAGCTCTCCCTCTGATAGAAGATGTTTATGCAGGTTTTCAAACAAACCTCCAGGTCATGACCCCTTGCTCTGAGCATCAACACAGCTGCTTGCGATCCCCTGAGGCCCCTCCTGGGCACAGCAACCTGGAGAATGTGGACTGTACCAGGCTGCTTCCGACCTGGGTCCAGCTCCTTCCTCCTTGTGCCTGGAGAGGACAGCAAAGACTGGAGGGCTCTGGCTGCCTTCTGCCTCGCCCAGGGCCTCTTTCATTGCCATGGCAACCCCACATCCTCACCTACTTGTCCTCTAGGCTCAGGCCTCCTGTAATGTAGACAAAGGAAGCCTAAACGAAGAGCCTGGCAGATCTGGACTTTCCTTCCTCCTGGCATTGCCATTTAGCAACCATGTGACCCCAGGCTGGCGACGTGCCTTTGGGAGGCCCCACGTCTCACCTGTAACACTGGCCTCGCCTCATCTGCTGCAGGCTTGATGTGGACAGGGGTGTGATCCAGGAGGCACTTCTAGTCGCCTCCTACTAGTGGCTCAGAGCAAGGGGCCAAGGCTTCTGACCTCACTCTCCCTCCATCCCCAGGGTTGCCTCAGGGCTGCAAGAAAGCTCTGGATGAGAATGCGATTCCAAGGTGTGGCTTGGGCTTGCTTGGTTCGTTCATTTGTTTGAAGGCTGGTGACTCCTGTTTCTAACTGCTCTTGAGAATAAATGCACACTACAGGATGGTGAAAGCCTAGATACTCCTATTCAGAAGTAATATTATCACTGGGCGCAGTGGCTCACGCCTGTAATCCCAGCACTTTGGGAGGCCGAGGCAGGCAGATCATGAGGTCAGGAGATCGAGACCAGCCTGACCAACATGGTGAAATCCCATCTCTGCTAAAAATACAAAAATTAGCCGGGCATGGTGGTGAGTGCCTGTAATCCCAGCTACTCAGGAGACTGAGGCAGGAGAATTGCTTGAACCTGCGAGGTGGAGGTTGCAGTGAGCCGAAATTGTGCCGCTGCACTCCAGCCTGGGCAACAGAACGAGGCTCTGTCTCAAAAAACAAAACAAAACAAAACAAAAAGCAAAAAACCAAAAACCTCACAGAGTGATGGAAAAAAATGTGAAAGTTCACACACACACCCCAGCATGCAGGTTTCCTGAGATGTCTCGGAAACTGTCGTGTGCACAGTGGCTGGAAGAGATGAGTCTGCCCTCGGTGCCCGAACCTCTCGCTCCTTCCAGAGTGATATCAGGTGGGCCTGGCAGGTGGCTTTCTCCCAGCAGCAGGGACCTACCTTCCGCTGCCACTAGCCTGTTAGTAAGTAGGCTAAAATCCCTACTTTACACTTTGAGATGCAAGGCAGGCGGATCACCTGAGGTCAGGAGTTTGCGAGACCAGCCTGACCAATATGGTGAAACCTCAATCCTACTAAAAATACAAAAAAAAAAAAAAAAAATTAGCTGGGCCTAGTGACAGACACCTGTAGTCCCAGATTTTCAGGCGACTGAGACAGGAGAATTGCTTGAAACCAAGAGGCGGAGGTTGCAGTAAGCCAAGATTGCGCAACTGTACTCCAGCCTGCGCAACAGAGAGAGACTGTCTAAAAAAAACAAAAACCACTTTACCTGCCTAGAGACTGTGGGGTTTATTCTTCATACTTCGTACCCCAGGGCAAAAAAAGAACTCTCTATCCACGGTGGCAAGGCTGGGGTTCTGAGTGTGTCCCCTCGAGCACTGCGCGCCGCTAAGGAAAGTGCATGCCCACCCTCCCTTCCCTCTGGGTGACAAGAATCCAGGTGTGCAGCGTCCTCACTAGGGTGCTTCCTCATGCTTGATACTCCCCGCTGCGCTGCAGGGACGCGAAGCCCGCCTTGGCACAGCTCCCTGTCTCTGATCACTCAGTTATTTACCCATTCACTCAGCAAACACGTTTTCTTGCCTGCTTACTCCAAGTCCGCTGCAGATGGACACCCTGCAGCCTGCCATGGAGCCGCAGATAGATTTTGTTTGGCCCACATCATGTTTTATGATTTTGTTTTTGTTTTTGTTGTTGTGTTGTTCTTTTGTTTTTTTGAGACGGAGTCTTGCACTGTCGCCCAGGCTGGAGTGCAAGAGTGCGATCTCGGCTCACTGCAACCTCTACCTCCCAGGTTCAAGCAATTTTCCTGCCTCAGCTTCCCAAGTAGCCGGGATCACAGGCACCCGCCACCACGCCCCACTAATTTTTTGTATTTTTAGTAGAGACAGGGTTTCACCATGTTGGCCAGGCTGGTCTCAAACTCCTGACCTACTGATCCACCCCGCTCGGTCTCCCAAAGTGCTGGGAATACAGGCGTGAGCCATCGCGCCCAGCCATGTTTTTTAAATTGCAAATTAATTGCCAAAGTTGAAAAGTGTGGAAATTGCATCGAAAATTCTGATTTCTGGATTTCTCTTGACTAATTTAAAAAAAAAAAAAAAAAAAAACTCACGTTCCCATGTGACCACGTTTGCTGGCAGCCCCTTCCCTAGGTGACACAGGCCTGGCTGCCCCCTGTTGGTCCCTGCAGGCAGTTCACCTTCACTCCCTGTGACTGATGGGCAATAACAAAATGAGTGTTTAGCATTAGCCAGCCGTGTGCCAGGTTCTAAGTGTGTCGCCCATATTGACTCACATCAGCCTCACAATGACAGTGTGGTAGATGCTATGATGCCCATTTATTCAAGAAAGGCTTAATGGGGGCCCAAGCCTATCAGGTTCTGGAAATGGAAATGCATCTGGGAACAACACAGACAAAATCCTGTCCTTCCTAGAGCTTTCATTCCAGTGAGGGGACATGGGGCGTGCTGAAGACGGTGGGGGGTGTGCTATTATAGATAGAGGGTCAGTATAGGCCTGGCTGAGCAGGTGACATTTAAGCGGAGACGTGACTGCAGTGAAGGGTTAGAAGAGTGTCCCAGGTGGAAAGAGGTGAAGAAACACGCCTGGGGCCACACAGCTAGTTAAGTAGCCAAGCTGGGACTTGAACCCATGCTGGCCCCAGAGCCTGTGCTCCTAACCACTGCATTCTAGGGCTTGATGTGAGATGCCAGCCCTGCCCTGAGATGCTCAGAGTTAGTGAGGAAGAGAAATAGGGAACGTGGCTGCCGTTAGAGGGCTGGGGCTGGGGGTGCAGGAGGCCCCAGCTCTGAAGGTTCCAACTTCCTGTCCTGTTCTAGTCTCCTCCCAGGAGGCCGAGATGAATTGCCTGCCTGCCCTGGGCTCTTTATTTTAATCTCCGTAGGGTTCTGGGAGCATCCCCCCCCCACCTCTACAAAGCTCCTGGGCCCCTCCTCCCTTCAAGGATTGCGAAGAACCGGTCGCAAATCCTCCTAAGCCACCAGTCTCTCCATCTTCAGCTCACACCAGCCCTGAGCGCCAGCCTGCGGCCAGGGGACCACGCACGTCCCACCCACCCAGCGACTCCGCAGCCGCTGCCCACTCTTCCTCACCCATGGGGAACAGCAAAAGTGGGGCCCTGTCCAAGGAGATCCTGGAGGAGCTGCAGCTGAACACCAAGTTCTCAGAGGAGGAGCTGTCCTCCTGGTACCAGTCCTTCCTGAAGGACTGCCCCAGCGGCCGCATCACCCAGCAGCAGTTCCAGAGCATCTACGCCAAGTTCTTCCCCGACACCGACCCCAAGGCCTACGCCCAGCATGTGTTCCGCAGTTTCGATTCCAACCTCGACGGCACCCTGGACTTCAAGGAGTACGTCATCGCCCTGCACATGACCACCGCGGGCAAGACCAACCAGAAGCTGGAGTGGGCCTTCTCCCTCTACGACGTGGACGGTAACGGGACCATCAGCAAGAATGAAGTGCTGGAGATCGTCATGGTCAGTCTCCCCTCTCCCCTTCTGGCTGGGCGGCGCCGGGGTCACTTGGGGCTGGGGGCCCCTTGCTGCAGAGTGAGTGGAGCTGTGGGTGGAGCGGGGGATTCAGGCCACTGGCTCTGAGAGCCTGGTGCTCCAAGAGGCTGATATTGATAGACGGGTGGGCACTTACCCACAGCTTCGTTGTCTTCCTGAAGCAGAATCTGAATGTTTCTTAATACATCCATGTTATGCTTTGCTTCACGATGTTTGGGTCATGTATGGACCATATATACCACTGTGGTCCCATAAGCTTGTAATGGAGCTGAAAAATTCCTATTGCCTAGTGATGTCATAGCACAGTTACTTTATTTTTTAAATGCATTTAGTGTAGTCTAAGTGTATTTATAAAGTCTGCAGTAGTGTACGGTAATGTCCTAGTTCTTCACATTCACTCGTTACTCGCTCACTGACTCACCCAGAGCAACTCCCAATCCTGCAAGCTCCACTCATGGTAAGTGCCCTAGACAGCTCTACCATTTTGTATCTTTGTGTTTTGTTGTTGTTGTTGTTGTTTGAGATAGTCTCACTCCGTGACCCAGAGCTGGAGTGCAATGGCGCAATCTTGGCTCACTGCAACCTCTGCCTCCCGGGTTCAAGCAATTCTCCTGCCTCAGCCTCCCAAGTAGCTGGGATTACAGGCGCACACCACCACGCCCGGCTAATTTTTGTATTTTTAGTAGAGATGGGGTTTCACCATGTTGGTCAGGCTGGTCTCGAACTCCTGACCTCAGGCAATCCACCCACCTCAGCCTCCCAAAGTGCTGGGATTTACAGGCATGAGCCACAGTGCCTGGCCCATTTTTTATCTTTATACTGTATTTTTACCACATGTTTAGCTATGTTTAGATGTGCAGATACTTACCATCGTGTGACAACTGCCTGCGGCACTCAGGACGGTCACATGCTGCACAGGTTTGTAGCATAGGAGCAAAAGGCTGGACCATGGAGCCCAGGGATGTAGTAGGCTATACCATCTGGGTTTGTGCGAGGACTGTCTATGACGTTCCCACATGGAAATTGCCTAAAGATGTGTTTCTTGGAATGTATTCCTGTCTCTGAGCGACACATGACTATATTTACATTTTTTTCTTTCTCTCCATCCTTTGTTTCTTCCTTCCTTTATTAAAATACCCTTTGAAATTTTCGGCAGTACACATTCAACTTGAATCGCTATTCATTCTAAACACACTATGCTTCAAATATAAAGTAGAAAGAGGTCAAAGTTGGGGACATGAACTCTGAGTTCTAGTTCTCATGTACTCCCCAGCTTGGGGCAGATTGCCTGTACCACCCTTGAGCCTGCACTTGCCATGCACGGCGTGGCTCCCCAGCTCCTGACAGGTTCCCTGTGAGGCGTACACGCTTCCACATGGTTCCCAACACACCTTCTCCCCCGTCCATACTGTCCTCGTGTCAGATCCTTTGTTGTGAAAGTAATGGCAAAAACCACAATTACTTTTCCACCAACCTCTAAGTGTCTTGAAAATGTTTTATCTAATGTATAAGTAACTCATGAAATTTAGAAGCCTAGGCAAAAGAGATTAAAAATTGCCTCATCCAAGGAAAACTTTTCTTAGTATATCGGTATATACCTTTTCAGTGTTTTACGTATATAATTTTTAAACAATGTTAAAGCTATGACATACTCACATACGATTTTTATCATACATTTTTCAGTTACTCTTTTATCATGAGTGCTTTCCATATCATTACATATTCTTCCAAAACAGTTTTTTGTTGTTGTTCAGACAGTTTCACTCTTGTCGCCCAGGCTGGAGTGCAGTGGCATGATCTCAGCTCACTGCCACTTCTACCTCCCAGGTTTGAGCAGTTCTCCTGCCTCACCCTCGCAAGTAGCTGGGATTACAGGCACCCGCCACCACGCCCAGCTAATTTTCGTATTTTAGTAGAGACAGGGTTTCGCCATGCTGGCCAGGCTGGTCTCAAACTCCTGACCTCAGGTGATCTGCCCACCTCGGCCTCCCAAAGTGCTGGGATTACAGGAGTGAACTTCTGCACCCAATCTCTTCCAGAACGCTTTTAATAGCTGCTTGGAATTCTGGCTTATGGAAATGTGGAAATTATTGAACATTCCTATGTTTTTGGACATTAGGTTGTTTCCATTTCTCTCCTATTATACCAGTTCTAATTTCCTTCATTTGATTTTTTTTTTTTTTTACTTATTCTTTTTCAATCCCCCTGCCCCCTGCCACTTGCTTTATTATTCTAATTCCATTCCTGTTAGTAGAGACTGTTGTTCAGATGTTATGCATTTGTAATCATGCCTTCATTTGCATGATTACAAATGCACAAAAATTTTCCACCCTTATTAGCAGAAACCATAAATAAAACAGCAAAGCGTGCAGCTTGTGGTCCATGGGCTTATCCTCAGTGCTCAGCTCAGGCCTCCCGTTCCGGCAGGCGTGTGTCTCCCTCATTGTTATCTTGGCACAGCCTGCAGAGAAAGCTCCCTCGAATTGGCTGTGGGGTCTCTGGCCTGGGACAGGGACTAAGTCTTCAGAGCCACATAAACAATGTGGGGCCCAGCAGAAGCCTACAAATGGATACTCCTTGAAGAAAAGTAGGAGGAAAGGGAGGAGGGGGAAATGAGGAAGGGAGAGAGAGAAGGTGGAAGTCAGGAAGGAAGGAGGGGGAAGCAAGGGGCAGGAAAGGAGGAGAGAAAGGAAGAAAGAAGAAAGGAAAGGGAGGAAGGGAGAGGCCATCAATGGCTGGGGCTGTACAAGGTGGCAGAAGGCTCTACGGTTCACCAGATTACAAGTTCATGGGCAGAGCACTGACTGGGGGAGTCACAAGTGAAGTGTTCTAGTCCCAGCTCTGACTCCAACTAGCGGTGTTGCTGTGGGAAAACCATTTTACCTTCCTGGGCCCAGGGTGAGGATTTGATTATTTTTGCAGCCTCTCCCGAGGCCCTGAAGGTCTGTCCCTCTGTGTTGGAAGTGGGGTGGGCAGGCAGTCACTCCCAGCTTCTGGCTGGCACACCTGTACATGGTACCCAAGGCCCTGCACAGATGGATAGGAGTGTAGGAACCACCTACACTTGCGTCCAGCTCAGAGCTCTGAGTGCTGCCAGTGAGGCCGCTGCCCTGGGCTGCTGGCTTTGGTCTCCTTGCTCCTTTTTCCAGCACTAGGAGGCTGAAGGGGAACTTCTCAAAGCTATCGACCTTCCCTCCAGGATAATTTCACAGCCATTATTGCCCCTGCCTGCCCTGCTCACAAGTGTCTCCAGGGAGGCAGAAGGCTCTGGCCAGAGCCAGTAACCTCCCAACTGCCACCCAACATACCTGCCTGCCCTCAGCATCCAAGGACCTACAACCTTGGGTGTCCCTTCAGGACCCAGCTGGCGCTGGTGTTCCTGAGCCAGTGGAATCCTAGAAACTTGGAGCTGGAAGGGTGCATGGAGCCCCCTTGTCCCTTTCCCTGATCTCACAGGTCTGGGGGCACTTCATGCTTTCCCTACATTGCATAACCAACTGCTTTATTAGAGGGGAGGGAGGTGAGAAGGATGGGATCCTTGAGCCCAAAGCTAAGCCTTTCGCTGAATCCGTCCTTGAGCAGAAGGTTAAATGAGGGTCTTGCTGTACCATGAGAAGACCTCTGAAAAGTTCTTGCTGATGCCTCTCCCTCCCCCCCAGCCTTGCCCAACGCTCTCCAAGACCTTCCAGTGATAAGGAGGTGAGTGGCCTATAGCGTAACACAAGGATACCAATTCTAGAATCAAAATGCCTGGATTCAAATCTCCACTCTTCTCCTTCTAGCTGGGTGACTTCCAGCAAGTTAGTTGTCTCAGTTTTTTCATCCATAAAATGGGGCTAATCATACCTTCTTCATACGGTTATTGTGAAGACTAGGTGTAAAAAATGTTTAGAAAAGTGACACCTAGGCCAGGCAGTAATCCCAGCACTTTGTGGGGCCAAGGTGAAAGGATTGCTTGAGCTCAGGAGTTTGAGACCAGTCTGGGCAACATAGTGAGACCCTGTCTCTACAAAAAATTCAAAGGAACTTGCTGAGCATGGTGGTGCGCACCATAGTCCCAGCTACTCAGGAGGCCGAAGTGGGAGGATTGCTTGAGCCCAGCATGTCGAGGCTGCAGTGAGCCATGATTGCACCACTGCACTCTAGCCTGGGTGACAGAGCAAGACCCCGTCTGGAAAAAGAAAAAAAGAAAAAGAAAGAAGAAAAGAGAGTGACACCTATTAAGTACTCAACAAATGTTAGCCGTTATTGCCATAAGTCAGTCTTACTGAGCAACTGAGGTACAGTATGAATCCAGAGGAAGAGGTTTACTCTTCTAAAACCTGTAGGCAGTAGGGTCTGAGGTAGTGATTCCCAAACTCCAACCTCAGGACTGCCGTCATATTTGCATCAGGAAGCTTTTTCTTTCTTATTTTCATTTTTTTAAATAAGTGAAGTTAATATGTTTACATAGTTAGAAAATCACAGTACAGAAAGGTACAAAATAAGAAGCGAAAGGCTTCTTTGTCTCTTCCCTGAATTCCCTGTCCCTTATGAGGGCCTCAAAAATACAGATGCCCAGGTCCTACGCCCAGGAATTTTGATTCAGTAGATCAGGTGGGGGCCTGTACATCTGTATTATAACTGCTATCTGCTCCCACGGGCTGGTCGGGCACTGAGAGAGGGACATTGTGATGGAGGTGACCCAAAGTCCCTGATGTGTCTTCCATAATATTTGTACCATTTTACATTCCCAGCAACAGTGGACCAGGGTTCCCTTGTCACCACACCCTTGCCAACGCCTGTTATTTCTTGTCTTTTTTTTATTACAGCCATTCTAACAGGCGTGAGGTGATATCTCATTGTGGTATTGATTTATGTTTCCCTGGTGATCAGTGATGGGTTTCTTGATACTTGCTGGCCACTTGTACGTCTTCTTTGGAGAAATGTCTGTTTGGGTCCTTTGCCCATTTTCTTTCTTTCTTTCTTTTTTTTTTTTTAGATAGAGTTTTGCTCTTGTCACCCAGGCTGGAGTGCAATGGCGTGATCTTGGCTCACTGCAACCTCCGCCTCCCAGGTTCAAGCAATTCTCCTGCCTCAGCCTCCCGAGTAGCTGGGACTACAGGCATGCACCACCACACCCAGCTAATTTTGTGTCTTTAATAAAGACGGGGTTTCACCATGTTGGCCAGGCTGGTCTTGAACTCCTTACCTCAGGTGATCCACCCGCCTCAGCCTCCCAAAGTGCTGGGATTTACAGGCGTGAGCCACCGTGCCCAGCCTCCTTTGCCCATTTTTCAATTGTGTTATTTGTTCTTTTGCTATTGAGTTGTAGGAGTTCCTTATATATTATATACAATGTGTATATTATATATAGAGAGAGACAGGGTCTTGCTCTGTCACCTAGGCTAGAGTTCAAAGGTGCAAAAACGGCTCACTGCAGCCTAGAACTCCTGGGCTCAAGCAATCCTCATCCTCCCGTGTAGCTGGGACTGTAGGCATGCCTACCACCTCTGCTAATTAATTTTCTCTTATAGAGATGGAGTCTCACTTTGTTGCCCAGGCTGGTCTCAAATTCCTGCCCTCAAGTGATCCTCCTGCCTCGTCCTTCCAAAGCGCTGGGATGACAGACATGAGCCACCGCACCTGGCCCCTTATGTATTTTTGATATTAACCCCTTATAAGATACCTGGTTTGCAGATGTTTTCCCCCATTCCATAAGTTACCATTTGATTTTGTTCATTGTTTTCTCTGACGTGGAGAAGCTCTTTAGTGTGATGTCATCCCGCTTGTTCATTTTGGTTTATGTTGCCTGCGCTTTTGGTGTCATACCCAAAAAATTATCATCAAGACCAGCATCAAGAAGCTTTTCCCCTATTTTCCTCCAGCAGTTTGACAGTCTGAGGTCTTATGTTTAAGTCTTTAATCCATTTTGAGTAGATTTTTGTGTACAGTGTAAGATGTGGATTTTCCGGGGTTGCCAACCGCTTAAAGTTCCTCCTAACGAGTTCTTTCTTTCTGTTTGGTACAGGCTATTTTCAAAATGATCACTCCCGAGGACGTGAAGCTCCTTCCAGAGGATGAGAACACGCCGGAAAAGCGAGCTGAGAAGATCTGGAAGTACTTCGGAAAGAGTGATGATGGTGAATTCCTTTTCCTTCATTGCTTTTGATTTTTCAACCATGGGCTATTCCCTGGAAACCCCAACAAGATTTATTCTTCTGAGTCACAGTGTCCAGGCAGGACGGGGACACCTCATTCCACTGTATATTTTTAGAGCTGTCTGAAGGGTTCGACAGGGGAATGGCCTTAAGGGTGAGCGGGAGCCAAAACTGTTTTCTGTACAATTAGAACAAGAGCAAACTTCAGCTCACCCTACCTTTGAATTAATTTCAAGTCCCAAGTCAGTGGGATCTAAATTGCTATGGTTTTACTTTGGGAAGTTGGTTTGGGTCCTCTGAGAACCACCACCAAGATAGGATTAGATTTAAATGAGATTGCAAGAGACTTATGGGAGGAAAGGCTGATGAAGGAAAACAGGCAGGGATGGAGAGAAGGCTGGGAAAGCCATCAGACAGCCAAGAAGATCTGACCCCTGGCAGGGAGAGAGGGGAAGAAAGGAAGGTTAGGTAAGTAATGCCTGAGACAGTGCATTCTGAGGAAGTGTTGACAGAGTCGATGGGGTGTCCTCGGTGCCCCTGTCAGTCTTGGTGCTCCTGCCCTGTCAGTCAGTGGCAGGAAGCAGTCCTCAGGAAGCGTGATCTTGCATTGTAGGCAGTGATGGACTCCAGCCCTCGGCTGCTGGGGCTGTGTGTCTGTGATGCTCATGGCCAACACAAGAAGGATGCGGTAAAGGAGCTGGTATTAGGCTGGGGCTGCAAACACATGTGGCTGGAGGGGCAGGAATGATGAAAACAAGTCATGTGGACAGTAATCTATAAGCAGTGCGGATTGGCAAACAGCACAGGGTGCACCTCGGGTCTGATGGCTTCCAGCATATTCCATGTGGGAATATGGAACCCGTGGTTGAGACATCATCTGATTTTTTTTTTTAAGAGAAGCCAGCCACGGAGATTTTAAAAATGCAGTGTCTCTCAATTGATAAAACACAGCGTGGCCCAAACACATCCAAGGGTCCTGTGTTAACCCCTTTGGTGACCTCTGGGGGCAGTCTCCTACCAGGGTCAAGAAGAAAAACCTGAGCAGGATGCTAAATAAGGGAAGAGAGAAATGATCCTGCCCCTCCTAATCTGCCAACAAATGATGAAATAAGAGAAGCAAGAAGGTCATTGGGGTAGGAGGGACGTAGGACACAGAATTTAAGGAGGCGCTTATTCTCAGGGATCAACAGTGCACTCACAGGACCTGAAAGTGAGTGCCTCCTTAAATTCAGGCCTTGGTACTTTACCCACCTTTCCGTCATCAGCCCTGATTGGCACCTCTCCTTTGAGCACTTTCTCCTCCTTGCACAGACATTGGCTGCCAAGATGGCTTCTTTCAGCACTTTGCCCACTGGCTCCTTAATTGGCTTCCTGACCTCCCTCTGGGTCTGTTCATGTGTCGAGCCCTGTGTTCTGCTCCTGAGGTGTTCACTGGAAACCGCCCCAGTGAACACCCCAGGAGGGCATGATGTCAGAGGCTGACGTGTTACTCCTGTTCATGGCATGCTCTACGTGTTTCCACATGGCCCATCTGGAGGCAATGCCTCACGGCAGAGTCAGGCTTTGATGGTGGGAGTTTCGAGCTCTCTGTGGGGTGGCTGGGATGTTAAAACCCAAGACTTGTGCAGGAAGCCATCCTGGATCCTAACCCAGAAGGGATTAAGGGTATCCAGAAACGCCCAGAGCATAAGTCAGAAATCACAGCCAGTTCAGCAAAGCTTTGTTGAGCAAGGACACTGTGCTAGGCACTATGAACATACACCAGAAAGGAACATCTGTCTCACGCAAGAGGTATTTCTGTGTGTGACTGCCTTCCCCGCCAGATCAACAGTTTCCCAGGGAGGGACTTCATCTCACGCTCTTCTATTGTACACCCCACCTCCGCTCCCTGCAGGGACCTTGGCTCCAAGCACGGTAGCATCTAGGCTCAGGACCATGCATTTAACTGGACTGATCTGAATACAGTAAACCACCTGATAAAAACACCAGAAAACCGGGTGTGGCTGCAACAAGGCTATCTCAGTCCTGATCCCAAATAAGGAGGCAGATGAGACTGGGGGATGCAGGGATGGATGCATAGGAAGGGGTCGTGGCGGAGTTGTCAGCCAGGAATCATGGGGCTGCCTGTGTGCTACAGGTGCCAAAGGGACCTCTCTGCAAGCCACACTCCTGCTGGCATGATGTCATTGGGCCCCTCACCTCTCACTCCTGTGTCTGTGGGGACGTTGTTCCCTGCTTCTCAGCTGAGACTCTGGGCCTGACACCCAGATTGTTTTGCTATGCTCAGACCCCCAGAAGCTCCTCCTGAACTTGATCTTAGAAACTTGAGCTAATACAGAAAATAGAATAACAATTAAGTTATTCATTATTGAAGTATTTAATAGCCAGCAAGGCAGGGGCACCGGCCGATCGGAAGAGGCACATAGCACAAGATTGGCATCTCGGGGCCCCCCTCCAGTGCCAGTCATTCACCTCCTTTTGCTGGTCCCCAGGAAGCTCCAAGGGGTCATGGGAAAGGAGGTGGGTATCTGGATTAGGGTGGGAGAATATTGAATACTCAGGGCCACTGAATATTCAATATTTTCATAATAGATACATTCACAATGGGGATACTGGCTGGATGTCAGCCTCATCGCAGCTTGCTTGGCTATCAATCCTGGCTGTTTTATGTATGTATATATTTTTTCCCAATGCACAGATAAACTTACGGAGAAAGAATTCATCGAGGGGACCCTGGCCAATAAGGAAATTCTGCGACTGATCCAGTTTGAGCCTCAAAAAGTGAAGGAAAAGATAAAGAATGCCTAATGCCAACAGTTCAGTTGTCCTCCCTCCACCCACCACTCACACGACACCCGTGAGCGCGTGTGCACGCACACACACACGCACACGTCCACCCCAGGGCCAAGAGAAAGGCCTGCACACAAGCCCACAGCACAGCTCCCTGCCAAACTGAAGCATCTGTAGTGACCCACTGGTTCCTTCTTCCTGGGTCTTCAGCGTCCCTCCCATCATCCCCGGTCCCACCCCTCCCTCTGCCCACCAGCCCATGGGCCTGTGCTAATCCCAGGATTAGGCCATAGGAGTCCTAAGTGTCACCCCACTGTAAGCTCCTTTGTGGAGTGCTGGGTAAGCAGTTTCCAATAAATGTAAGCTGAGCTGGGCACATGGCTGCTGGTCATCCTTCACCTGGAAAGGACATGATTTCTGTCGGCCACACCTCAAAGACAAGGTTGTGTTGCGATGGCAGCCCTAGGCTGGGCTGCTCTGGTGCCGAATGAGCCTGACGCAGTCCTGCTCTCGTGGAGCTCATGGTCCAGAGGGGGCAATGGAGCTGGAAGGAGGCCGTGACCAGTGGCCCAGGTTACCATGGAAACGTGCAGAGCAGCAGGGGAGGACACAGTGGAAGGGGCTGACTGGTTAGGGGGGATCAGGGACCACATCCCTGACGAAGGGAGATTTACATTCAGACCCACTGCACACAAGATGGGGGACGGGGTCGGGGTGGGGAAGTCTCAAACAGAAGGCGACCGACACAGAGCCGCTGAGGCACGACCGACCATCTCAAGTTCCAGGAGAAGGTCAGGGTGGCTGGAGGGTAGAAGGAGGAAGGAGAGCAAAGTGTGAGCTGAGCCTAAAAGGTAGGTGGGGACTGGACCATGCAAAGCCCTCCCTGCAGCCCGTGGTAAGCACTTGGGGGCTCACCATGGGGGCGGCAGTGCCACTGTGGAGTTGGAAGTAGGAGGGTTTTACGTTTGTAAGAGAAGTCCCCAGCAGGCTAAGATAAGTCAGAGGGGAGCGATTGGGGGCTCCTTAGGGGCAGGGAGCCTGATGAATAAGCTTTTGCAGCCACCCAGATGGCCTGGGCCAGGGGAAAGGCAATGGGATGGAGAGGACCAGACCCAATAGATACATTTAGGAGGTAGCATCCACCTGGCTGGCTGAGCGGTGGGGAGGAGGGAGGGCAGTAATGGCAGCCAGGTCTGTAGCTGGGGCAGTGGGTGAATAGCAATGCCATCTATGGAGATGAGAAATTCAGGGAGCCTTTGAGGTTTCAGGGAACAATGACGAGTTCAGCTTCAATATAGTAAGAGGTGAAGGCAGAGCCGCAGATGGCCCTAAAGCCCCTTGTTTTAAAGACAAGAAAAAGGAGTCCCAGTGACAGGAAGGAGCTTGCCCAGGGGCGGCCAGCTGAGGTTCTGAGGTCAGGTCAGGGCTACCCACCAGCTCCCCACTGCCTCCCTCAAAGCTCCAGGGCCTGGGATACCCAGGAACTCCATCAGTGGGTTCTCCAAGATCCCTGGGTTTGTTGCTTTGAAGGTCCATTTATTCTCCAGCCTCAAGTTCCAAGATGAGGTCAGAAAAATGCATGGATGCCCTGGATTCTTGACTGACCTGTCTGCAACCTCTCGAGGCTGGGGAGTCTCCAGTTGCTGGTGTTGTGGTGATGCCTCCAGACCCCACTTTAGCCACAGAAATGACACAATCACCACTGCCAGAGAGCACTCCTCTGTGTGGAGAGCAAACATGAGAATAAACTTATGAGCCGTGCGCCATGCTAGACTCTGCCGTCATTATTTCATTGATGGAGATGATGTTGTCTCCATAGTACGGATGACGATACTGAGGCCAGGAAGTGTGAGTAGGAGTTGGTACTTAAACTGCAGTCCTTTTGATTACACCAGGTTTCTCCAATAGTTTTGACCTGGACACAGCAGGATAGAGAACTCTAGGATAGCACAGTGTCAGAGCTGGAAAGGGGAGGGAGGCTACAAGGCACGAGCCCAGAGGTTCCGGGAGGAGAAGGATTATTATTAGAATCATCTGCCCAAGACACTTCTCCCATGTAGACATAGTGGGCTATATATAGGAGCTTGTTCAGTGGGAGATAAAGGACCCTGTGGGTCCAGTCCAGAGTGTTCCAGGAATATAACCAAAGGGCTCAATGTCTTACTCCAATACTGTCCGCCACACTCCATGAATAAATCTGGTTGCTTGGAGGATGAGGCTGGGGCTTCTCACTTCTCTCTGAGGTCAGGCTATCATTGTCACTTGAGTCTAAAAGGACAGACACTGCATAATCAGGTCCTTGCTGGTTTGTGGTTCAATGAGAGACATAAAGGGGGCCCTAGAGCTTCCAGTGGCCAGTGGAGAACCAAAGAGTGAAAACCTAATTAGCACCTCTGTTTTTTAGCTTAGGGCAGAAGGACCACTTGGGCTGGGATTCTGTACAGCTCTGTGACACTCTGTGGGAAATAAAGCATGAAGTTTAACTTGGCTGAAGGGAAGAGGAGGTGGAGATAGTGATGAGCTATGTCATCAAGACTCTTCCAGATGCAAAAGGTAGATGACCTGGCACAAATTGAAATTGATTGGCTCTTATAACTGAAATTCTAGGAGTAGGGCTAGCTTCAGGTCTGGCTTAATCCAGGGGCTCCAACGATGTCTCAGGTTCATTTCTCCCTCTCCTGGTTCTGCTTTCTGCTGCCACCACCATTCTCAGATAGGTTCTTCTCATGCTGGCAGGATAGTCACACCGGCAGATCCAGGTTGCCTTCTTCATGGTTCCAATTTCAGCAGAAAAGAGAAAATGCTTTTTCTTGAGTCCCAGCCAAAGTGTTAGGATTGCTTCTCACTGTTTCTGGTTAGTTATATGCCCAGCCTGACTCAACATCTGATGCCAGAAGGATGTGCTGCTCTGCCTGGCCAGCAGATTTTTATGCCTGTCCTTGAACTGAGGATAGAGTCAGGACAACTCAAGTTCCATGGACTGAGAGTAGGAGATGAGTGGTTTTTCCAAAAGGAAAATTGGGTTACTATAAGGAGGGCAGATTCTAAAAATAGATGTCTACTATAGAGACCTTGGGGAAGTCATTTCCTGTCTCTAGATCCCTGACTCCTCAAATACATGTAAATTCAAGGGCAGAAATGGGTCTCATTAAGAACAATAATCCAAACTGCCCCAGTTTCTTTTGCCACCTGCCCACATAAGATCCCAGACCCTTGTGCAGTGCCTCCAGGGCATTTTTAGCATCTCCAGGAGGTGTCCCGCACAGATTCACCAATACGTCCCTTAGTGCCAGGTGCCATTGCTGCCCCCAAGTACCATGTTCTTAATCACAGGTGAGGCCACAGTGCTCCTAATGTGCCCAAGCTGTGTGCTGATCTGCTGAGGAACCTTCTAGGTTAGCATCTATCAGAACAGCCCAATGGGAAGTAGCATGTGTCACAGAAACAGCTTTTGTCATTGCCTCCTGGAAACAGCTCTTCTAGCTTTTGTCTGGAGCTTCTCTTCTCTCACCAGGCTCAGACTCTGATCATGGAGCCAGGTGGGGTCAGCCAGCATGCTGTGTCCACCTCTATCCCCATTTCTGTCCCTTAATGGTCATATAAACTCATCAGACAAGCCCAGATATGTCTGTGTCTCAGGCTGTCAGGCTCCAGCTGGGATGACCACCCCTTAAAAAAACCATAAAACTGGGCCAACCACACCTACATTGCCTATCACTTAAGAGTTGTGAGAGTCAGTTGAGTCTGTGCTTGTGGAAGAATTTCCGAGCTCTAAATGCTACATGGGAGAAAGGCTCAGTTTATTTGGACTTCAGCAAGGTATTGTCACTTTCCAAAGAAGGGTTCACCTCCTTCCCCTCTGCCTCAGCCAATATTCTCAACCTTGGTCCCATATTAAAGTCACTCAGGTGGCGTTGACGCCAAAGCACGGGCAGTGAAAGAAAAAATAGATACATTGAACTTCATCAAAACTTAAAACTTTTCTACCTAAAAGAGCACTATCAAGAGAGCGAAAAGACAATCCACAGAATGAGAGAAAATATTTGCAAATAATATATCTGATAAGGTATCAATATCCAGAATGCATAAAGATTTCCTACAACTCAACAACAAAAACCAAACAATCCAATTGAAAAATGGGCTAAGGGCCGGGCGCGGTGGCTCAAGCCTGTAATCCCAGCACTGTGGGAGGCCGAGGCGGGTGGATCACGAGGTCAGGAGATCGAGACTATCCTGGCTAACACGGTGAAACCCCGTCTCTACTAAAAATACAAAAAAAAAAAACTAGCCGGGCGTGGTGGCGGGCGCCTGTAGTCTCAGCTACTCGGGAGGCTGAGGCGGGAGAATGGCATGAACCCGGGAGGCGGAGCTTGCAGTGAGCCGAGATCACGCCACTGCACTCCAGCCTGGGAGACACAGCAAGACTCCGTCTCAAAAAAAAAAAAAAAAAAAAAGAAAAATGGGCTAAGAATTGAATAGACATTTTTCTAAACAAGACTTACAAAGAACTAACCAGCAAGGCACATAAAAAGATGCTCAACATCATTAGTCTTTCCAGAAACGCAAATCAAAACCACAATGAGATACCATTTCACAGCCATTAGGAAAGGTTTTCATTAAAAAAATGGAAAATAAATGTCGGCAAGGCCATGGAGCATTTGGAACCCTCATGCATTGCTGGTGGAAATATAAAATGGCACAGCTGTTGGGGAAAATATAGAATCACCATATGATTCAGCAGTTCCACTTGTAGGTATACTCAAATTTTAAAAGCAGAAACTAGATGTTTAAACATCCCTACCAATAGCAGCATTATTCACAACAGCCAAAACATGGAAACAATCCAAGTGTCCATCAGTGGATGAACAGATAGACAAAATGTGGTATGCATGGAATATTATTCAGCATTAAAAAAAGGAAATTCTGACACACACTACAAGGTGGATGATCCTTGAGGGCATTATGGTGAGTGAAATAAGCCGATCACAAAAGGATACGTACTATACAGTTCCACTTATATCTACTGTATCTAGAATAAGCAAAT